CTTGCAGAAGCCCAGAACACCTGTCTGGCTGCAGGGGTCCCCAGAGGGCTCTTAACATGGAGAGGTGTGTTTGGAGAGGGGGAATCCACAAAAAAATATATAAAATAAATCCAAGTTTCTCCAAATTTCAGCCCTCGTGTTTTCTGATTGTGAGAGTTGACACAACGTGGGGGTTGGCACAGAGGGAAGCAGCAATAGTTACATTTTCCGCTTTGATAAAAAGACTTTGGGATAGCACTTTGCTCTTTTGGAGCTTTGCCCTAAAGTCAGGTGAAAGCAGTGGGCCCTCCCCCACTCAATAACACCTGCAGGTGCCACATCAAATGTACCCGCAGCACCTGTGAACTTTACTGGTGTCTGTGCTCCAGTCTTAGTTGCACTACTTTACCCTGCTTTGAGAATCAAGGGCTGTGAGGCTCACTATTTCCCAGCTCTGAACAGAAGCGAGGTATAACGAGCCTTTTCCACTGGAAGCAACTCCATTCAATAATTAACATCAAACAGAACAAATATCTTCCTGCTGGACTATAACACAATGCACTCTCAGCCACAAGCAGCACATCACAACTTACTATCAGGTGGCAACCCCAATACCTTGTTCATATACCTGAGCAAGGAAGAAGGAAGGAGAGTAAAGAAACACTCCTCTGAACACCTTTTCTGAACTAAATCCCTGATTTAAATCACTCCCTTCCAGGATCAGACAACACAGATCCTTCCCCATTTGTCACAGACCCCCCAGGTCAGCAGATTCTGCTCCATTTGTGATCAGAACCTGCAGGGCCAGGGGGTAAGATGATAGCTGCTCCTGCCAGGACCCATTGATTCGCCCACATCTCTTTTGCTGCATCTAGATGCAAAATCCCTGCCAGTTCCTGGGGTAGCAGAGCTCCCCTAGGAGCCCCGCAGAGCAGCAGGGCAGAGCCATACAGCCCAACATGCTGACAGGGATTTGGGAGGATGTGGGTCCACACATGAAATGACACAACTGTCCTCTTGCCCACATCAGTCACAAGAAAAAAAAAGAAAATAGGAAAAGAAAGGAGCAAATCTCATATTCCTGACAGAGTCGGAGGTCAGAGCCTCCAGAGAGCAGTGGGAATTTTAATTAACAGCATCACCTCCAAGAATATTGGAGCATCACCTCCAAGAATATTGGAGCTTTCCAAATGGTGAGTACAATTTGACTGTATACCAGAGCATCCTTTTATCAACGCACATCACCAGATCTCATGAATTATAAAGTCTCAAGGTGAGGAAGCCATGCGTCACCCAAACACTTCATCCCAGTGACAACTAGACTGCATCAGTTCATCTGCTCTGTGAGGAGACACTTGATTCCATCAACCTCGAGGAACACTTCTGTGCAGACATCACTTCAAGCACACCTATTGATCACACAGCCTGGACACTGGCCATCATTTTTAAGTTATTTAGTAGTGGAGTTACCAGTCACTTGTGCGCAAAAGAACAATGCTGGAAGTCTAACAGGCTGGTGGAAGGCTGAAAACAAATGGAATAATTCATCTCAGGCAAAGGAGATGGAGTAGTATCAATTTTCAGCTCACCCACAGGAAGTATCAATGACAGATTGGGCATCTTCACATCAGATGTAATCAATGTTATACTTAAATGCCAGAAAAAGTAATTTAGAAAACGGTACTGCTAGCAGACAGTAAATATTGATGATTAACCCTTCAGTAATCAGTAGCTCGCTAAGTTGTTCTGACAATGACCTCTATAAATCTTTAATACATTGGAAAAGGATTTTCTTATATGCTGGATCTCTGCTTCCAAACCACACTGCAGAAATTCCTGCAGCTTAGGCACAAAGACAAAGCTTTCCCCCCATGTCTATAACCAAAGAATGTCTGCCATTTGTACAGATACAAAGAGACCTACTTTATGTTTGAAACAACAGATATTTGGATTCAGTTCTGTGCAACATGAAATTCTCAGTCACATTTAATATAGACAGCTGAGAGCTCTAGAGAACTTGCTCATATTTCATTATCTGTCACCAAAATAGACATAAGAAACTTAGTAAGATATATCTAGGCACAGATTTAGTTTCTTACTCAAACATGAGCTCAAACAGAAGTGATAGACTCAGTGCAGAAATTGCTGCTTTGATCCAGCAGCCTCTGTTATCCTGGAAATCTGAGCTGGAGGTTGCAATCCTCATTTCTGCCCTTAAGGTCCCTCTGCCTGGTGTAATGTATCCCAGTTACATAGGAGCAATTCTCTAAAAGACAGAATTCCTCCTTGCAGATATGCGATGGTAAAAATTAGACTAGTCCTTTGTGTCTCTAGGAATGCTTAACTACATTTCAGCATCAACCACACAAGTGTTAAATCCATGCTTCTCTTGAAGTCATTCCTACCTCTCACCCATACATGCTCCAGAACAGATCTGCCTTTATTATCCTGCGTTAATTCCCTCACTTTTATGTTCCACATACAGTTCAGAGACATGCTGTTTCTAGCATGTTAGAATCACTAAGGGACCTCACTGTCCAGTTTTGGGTGCTGCTGGTGCAACACTTGACCACAGCGCCATTGCCAGCAGCAGCCCTGCTGGTCCCAGGCAGAAATTGATCCTCCTGGCTCCAGCACAGACTGTCTGCTTGCTAAAAGCCTCCAAGTGAGATGTTAGCCTATTGGAGTTCATTTTTTCACTGAAAGCAATGAGTTCGTGCTTTGCCGTGTATTAGCAGCGAATTCAGGAAGAGTTTATGCTGGTGAAACAGCTACTCTTTAAACCACGTAGGTTCATATTTTATTTGCTGCGGATGACTAAAGGCACGAAAGACACCATGGTTATGCTTGACAAATCCAGAATACAAGTCAGCACACAAGAAGAAAAAGAAAAATGCTCACACAGAGTAAAAAAGACTGCTGAGCTTATGCAAGTCTTTGCAGTTATGACAAACCAGACTCCATCTCCCTCCCAGTCCTTGTTCAGTCACTGATGGGGAAAAGAGGAACAGAAGAGTCAGCAGCATCTGTCCGCAGCTTCCCTCTGAAGCCCCTCAGTTTCTGATCTCCTGCCACCCAGCGAGACCAAGCCCAGCTCCAGCACAGCCTCAAGAAGCAAACAGTACACCAACAGTGCAGAAAACCAACGTGAGCCACGCCTACTATCATTTGCTTTCTCCCCATTTCTCAGTGGGTTGCCTGGTCATTGTAACGCCTGACAACCAAAATGAGTTACTAAGATTTTGCCATGTCACCTTTTGCATGCAAAATGCTACATTAGCAGTACAGAAACAAGAATTCTGTGAGCTCCTTCACCAAAGCTTTTCAAATTAGACAAGCCAACCAACAGGAACGGTCTATACATACATGCTTTGGCACAAGGACTTGGCATCCCCTCCAAACCCCTATTTCTGTGGTTTTGTTTCCTCCAGAAACATCAAGAGACCAAAGCAGGCAGCAGCATATCTGTGGATCTACAGGTGAAATTGCTGGTGGAGAAGGCAAAGTGGAAGAAATGCCTCAGCACACAATTCTCTGTGTCTATTCCTCATTTCAGAAATGCTTTTTTCATACAAGCTAGACAGACCTGGCTCTCTCCAAATTCAATTCTGTTAACATGCTTACACTGAGGAGGCAGTGTCACAGGGAAATGAATTAACTTGAAGCAAGAAGGGGAGAAAAGGTGAGGAGACCCTTAAAAAGAAAGTCAACACAATTTTTCTTTTGTTTCTTGTGTTTTTTGGTTTTCTAAAACAAGTCTTTAGTTGCCCACAAACGCTGATGTTGTGGAGGCTTGGGAAATGAGCTTGTAACCAGGTGAGCTATCAACAGGCAAATACCTATGACTTAATGGCTTGTGGATCACAAGATACATACAGCCAGACCTGGTTACAGCTATCCCCTAGACCAAAGGCTTTTCACACAGATGGGGCACGCAGGGAGCTGCTGCAGCATTCAGGATTTAACTACTTTAAAGTTTTGGTGATTACATAATTGTTCAGGTGGTTTTGTTGTTGTTGTTGTTTTTTGTAACTGGATCTCAAATCACTCTGTAGCTAATGAGCAGGTAGATGGAAGAAAACAGCTGAAAAGCAAAGTCTTGACAAACAGCTGTGCCAATAAGTGTCAGCCTTCACCCCCCAAGGGTCAATCCCCTTATGAAACAAGCACTTAATCCTTTACAATTTTTAATTAAAAATCTACCAAGGATCCTGTAATACTTTCTCGAGATTCTGATTCTGTCGGGGGAGTGCTGACCACAAGTTGTTTCAGTAGAGGTGTTGATCCTGTGTAAACCCGTGTTTCAAAGCTGAGGGCTACCACACCACGAGTGAGCGACGCAGCACGTCCCCATCGCCCAGAGCATTTAACTAATCGCTGCATCACTAACGAAGGCCCCCTCCCTGCTCCGCCGCAGCCCAGCGACCCTTCTGCTCCACTTCAGCATCCTCTGAAAGCGAAGGGCGGAACGCACTCTCACATATCCTTGAAACATTTGGCGAGCTCAGCATCCCCGGGGAGCAACGGGCGAGCTCTGCCCGAGGCTCCCTCGCCGTAGTCGTCCACCCGAGGGCGGCAGGAGGGATCCGAGCCATGCCGGGCAGACGGCCGGCTCCGCGTTCCCGAAACGGCCGGTTCCCGGGTGGCTGCCGTCGCTCGGGGCTAAGCCCAGCCCTGGGGCTCCGTTACGCGGCTCGCTTCGAGCATCCCCGCGGAGCTTTTGTGCCTGCCGGGGGCGGGAGCCCAGCCGGTCCCCTCCCGCCCTGGCCAGTGGTAGGAGGGCAGCCCCGTGCGGCGGCTCCGCAGTAGCAGCATCCTCCCGGGGGCGGGAGAGGGCCCGGGCAAGCCGAGACGAGAGATCTGCGGCGGACAAAGCAAAAAGAAGGGCGGGGAACCCCCCTCACATCAACCCCCCGAGGCTCCGTAGCCGCCGGTGCCCGCAACGCCGCCAGCCCACATCCCGCGGCAGAGGCAGGGCCCGGCGCTTGCCCCGGCCCCTTCCTCCCCCGCGGCTCCTCTACCTGTTCGGAAGAAAGCATCCACCTCCGAGTCGGGGACAGCGCCTTCCTCCGCCGCCCCTTCGGTGGGATTCATGGCTGGGGAAGAGAAGGCGGCGAGCCCGGCGGCTGGTAATATCCAGTGAGTTAGGGAGGAGGAGAGCCGAGACAGAGAGAAAAAGAGGGAGGGAGTGAAAAGAAAAGGGAGGGAGGGATGGAGGCGCGTTTAGCAGCGAGCCCAGCCGAGCGCCGCCCGGCTCATCATCCCTTCCGCGCTGCCTGCGGGGCGGCTGCCCCGGGGCTGGGCTGAGCTGCGCTGCCCGCAGGCTGCGCTAGGCTGGGCTGGGCTGCCCGGGGCGGGGTGCCGAGCCCCGACGCCGCCGGCCCCCTCCCCTCCGCCCGCTATTGTTCCGCTCCGTGCTCCCCCCCCCGCCGCCGCCGCCGCGCTGCCCCTCGCCGCGCTGCCAACCCGGCCCGGCCCCCGGCAGCCGCCCCCGCTGCTTCCCTACCGGCGCTTCCTGAGCCGGGCCGGGCGCGGAGCCCGCAGGGGCAGCCTCTCCGCGGGGCGCGGTCGCTCCGCGCAGCAGCGCGCACCGGGCCGGCTGGGGCGGACACAGGTGCGGGCTCGGACGCCCCAGATGGAGCCTTGTTTTGTTGTTGTTGTTGTTATTATAGCCTGCCCCTGTGCGCTCCGCAGCCATATGTCTGTGCATCACGCTGCCATGTCTCCCCTCGGATGAATAACCGCGGGGTACGGCATGCGGCTGTCAGCTGGGCAGGTAGTCGGGGACTCAAAGTAATCGCTAGGATGGCTATAGGGAAACTCTCCCTTTATTTTTTTTCTTCCTCCCTCCTTACTCTTCACGGGCTGTGAGCACAATGGCTTTGGAAATGATCAGTGAAACTGCATGCTGTTGCAGGTACACCTCTATGTTTTACTCTTTACAATCCCAGAGGGCTGTAGGGTAGAGAGCAAAAAAGGAGTTTGAAGAAGCACCATCCTGCTCCCAGCTCAGACATTGATTCAGCTATTTAAATGATTCTATTTCTCTGCTGTAGCTCCAGTATTTGTGATTTGGGACAACAATTGTTGTCTCAGAAGGAGCACTATGAGGAACGCCTGTTTGCACTCCGTTAGCAGCTGTGTTAAACATTATTCCCTAAGCCCAGCTATCAAGATTTCAAGCACAGATAGACAGAAAGACAGGTATTTGCCATTTGGGCACTTTCCTTTCTTCTCCCATCCACCTATTTGAAGTCTCACCAGCTTCTCATTCCCCAGCAATCATGCAACAGCATCAAAACCTGCAGCCTGCTTAGCGAGCAGTGCTGCCGTTCCATCAATTCAAAGCACCACTGTATAGCAGAGGTTTACTTGCACACCCCACAGGTCATCTGTTACCTCTGCCACAAGTAAGAGGGAACAGCTGGTGGAGCTGGCACCCCCTGGGATGTGTTCCACTTAAATAACCCATCTTTGCTGCAAAACACTGTCTTCTATCTGAAGACAAAGAGTCCCCCTTTGCCAGCAGCAGGTCCCAACATCCCCAGAACCCTCCTGTCCCCATAGGGATTTTGTCCAGTAGCTGCTCCTTTGTCAGTGATGTTTAAAGAAACTCTGTAGGTGCATGAGAAGAAGCAAGCTGTACACAAGGGCAAAACATCTCTGGGTCACCCCAGAGGGACTGGTTGGAACGCAGCACAAAAGCTACGCGTCAGGCTGGAGTGTCTCCAGACAAAAAAATACTCGTAACAGGAGAAATCTCAGAATCAATTGGCTGTGAGTGACACTGCTTGGATCAGATCTCCCCCTGTCTGCAGGTTAGAAGCTGAGGCTGGCGGAACATCCCAGAGAATTTCAGACTATGGGTTTCCTTCATCTCATCTCTTCCCAATAGAGGGTAGCAGAAGGCTGGGTTTGGATGTGTGCCCACTGATGCATTGTACTTGATAAAAGGGCCAAAACTTTCCCTAGAGAAACAAGTATTGAAATGGCATTGACCAGGCAGGCTGAGCACAGGCCTCCCAGTTGCATCTTCTCTGGCCTTACTAACTGGAATTGAAACAGAACTGAAAAGCAGACTGTACTGCAGGCCTGGGGGATACAGAAACAGGAGCAAGCACTCTGTAGTGTTCTAGCATATAATTTCCCTCTAGTTGCTTTATTCCTCCCCTGACCTACTGCCCATTTCCCAAGCCAAACTCCAGCTGCTTTTAAGCACAGCTTTTTACCTTTTTATGCTTACAGATAAAAAGGGTCATTTCACACCTAGCTGCAGAAAACATCAACACAGTCCATTTTTCAAGCATCAGACTTCTACAGTGAGCACTCACCCTTTCTTTCTCCCACACCACACTGCAGAAAAGCCTTACCTCAAGGTCTAAACAAACAGCATCATTTTAAGTCCCATCTCAAGACCCCATCACCAAATATTCACAACACGTGGCCTTGTCCCCAAACTCTTAATGCTGACAGATGCATAAGCACGAGCTACAACCTTGATAGCTGGGAGGAACTGTTTGGTACAATGTGGCGGGGTTTAGAGTCAAGGTGTTCCTCCTCCAGGAGCATCCTTAGCAGCTAGACAGGAGTTACGCACAGCAGGGAAGGTTTGGCATCATCCAGCAAAGGAAATTAATGATATAAATGACAGAAAAATGTATATTCCCCATTCATTATGAACCATGCAGGCATGACCTGTGATGTCAACTGAAGAAATTGTAGAGGGTGCAAAAAACATTCTTATCTGCATAACCCACAACCAAACACATTAGAAAATGTTGAGGGATGGAGAGGAGTTTGTTTAATTGACCTACCATCCTGATAACTACACAGATTCCTTGTTAATGATTAAACCAGTTACAGCACTTATATTTAATCATACAATTTTGTTTCTGCAAACAGTTTGTTGTTTTTTGGTGTTTTTTTTTTTTTTTCATAGAGAATAATTAGAACAAGAATGACCCCAGTTCTCTCACATGCTTTGAAACAAATGGGAATTTCTACTTTTTAAAGAATAAATCGGTTGCAGTGTTTGGGTTTTTTGCATCCAGTTTCACTAAAGTAAATCAGGACCAAGCCATGCATTTTTTATTGCTATCTTTTGTAGTAGGCACAGCATGTTTGTACTTCTATGCTTGCAGCTCCACTGGCCAGGATAGCCTTGCACTATATATTCACTATTTTCAGAGTATTATCATTGAAGCAACAGTGCTGCATCCACACTTTGTGCACACCTTTTGTAGCACATGGCAATGCAGCACAGGGAACACACATACCTGTAAGTTTTGGTGCAAACCCAGACATCAAGTGAGCTACTATTTTCATTAACATTGTGAGCAGAGCAAGGCTGTCACTGTAAAATATCAACAACCAGGAGCCACCATGACTTCAAGTCTCAGAAGCACGTTCATGATTTTTGTTATTCAAAGAAGCTGTTAAATATAGAATGAAATTCTTTCTGCAGTGTATACTTCACTGTTTAGATACAATGCTGAAGGCACCTCCAGTTTCCTTGCAATATGAAACAAAAAAACACACTACCCTGTAGGGTTACATAAGCCAAAACTTATGACTTCCATTAATAGACACTGCTTTAATCTTTTGCATAGCTCTGCTTGAGAAATGTCTCAATCCACACTGAACAACAAGTTTACTAGGTAAGAATATTCTTATTTGTGATGACCCTTAAAGCTGCTCAAATAGCAGAAACTATCACAAAGGCATTTGGTTTAAATCCTCTACTACAGTCAAGTTTTGCAACAGGACAACTATAGATGGCACCTAAGATAAAGCAGATTTAGCTAGACCCCACAAGCAAGTTAATTACAGGATAGGAGGGGAAAGTATTTGAGCAAGAAATCAATCAAATTTGTTTTTCCAAGACATTGGATCCAAGGGAGAAGAAATATGTTCGAAGGCTGTAAGACAGCTGTACTGCTGGGAACAGCAGCAAGAGAAAGCACATGCAGTGTGGGTGTCCCACACAAAGGATTGGTCAAACAGTGTTTCACACAGTACATGTGTTCTCATTCCTGAGTTCCTGTTCAGAAAGAGACAGGAGAAAAACCATCCTGCCAGGCTCAGCAGATAAGCTGCAGTCTGCAAGATGCTGCAGAGACTGTTAGATGTGCAGAAAGTCCCTCCCTTTCAGTGTCCCAGCACTGTATAAATACAAAGTGTTAATGGGTAGGATCAAAGAGAAACCTGAACAGCAGAGTAGGAAAATGTAAGTCTTAAAAGCACCTAAGGCTGCCTCATTAATAAGTTATTTGCAGCTACATACTGGGGTATGTGAGAAAAATTTCTCACACCCAGAGACCTGTTCAGCCCTGTGTTTCAGTATTAGAGTTGAAATTACTATGCTCCTAAATTGGGCTGAATCTGGGGTTGGGAGGGGGAGTTCCCATTCATATTCCAGCCTACCAGGAATGTTGCGAGGGAAAACTCACAAGCACCCAGAAGCACCGCGTGCAGAGAAGCCTGTAGGGCAGCATGGAGGAGCATGAGGCATGCTTCATATTGTTAGACTCAAGCACCCACATATATGCCAAAGATTATTTCTGTGCACACCAGGGTTGGCTTTGCAGCACTCACAGACACATTTACACCTGACAGTTAGCTTGACCCTTTGCTCTGATGTGGAACAGCTGTATGAGCAAGAAAAGAGCAAGCTCTAATCCCACACCAAAGTGCTTGTTCCAGCATCATCCCTGCTACTGTTATCCTCCAGAACAGAAGCGGGAACGTCTATGGAGTTGCCACCTAATCTCCCACTTCCAGACACCACCAGTTTCCCTGAGCTTGCGCAGAAAGCAGAACATTAATCACTCCTCTCCAGAAACACTACCCCATCTAGAACAGTGATGGCAATTAGTAAGACAATTTTAGAACTAAATAATAGCTTTAGCACTGTGGCAGTGCAAAGGTTTGCCGGTATTAGCAGACAAACAAATGTGCTTCTTCCATAAAGCACAAAAGTGCATTTGCCTCTCTGGCCATAAAAGCTTAAGCTGAATGCGGAGCAACAGAACAACTGATGTGTCTGAGAAGTGTGCAGGTCTTTCTCTGAGTTTCCAGATAGGAATCTGGAAAGAGTTGGCAGTGACTGAAAAGCCTTTTTTCCCCAATAGCTGTTTTGTTACAGTTGGTAAATGAATTGCTTGTTTTTATTAACTACTGCAAAAAAAACCATCT